TGGGATTAATGAGAAGCTGTATAATTAATTACATAACTTAATTAATTACACATATTAACTAGCGCTTTTAACCATGTGTTATGGTTTAATCATCCCGATCGAAGTCTACGTCATAACAAGCGTGAGATAGGTATCCCAACCGAGACTTTAGCTAATACAAGTGCTTTATCCTAGCATAGGTATATTGATGATTTTCACATTTGAAATCTGAAAATTTGGATACCACCAGCAGACTTTGATTAGTCCTTCTTAAAGCTACTTCAGGTCTCCCAACTCTTATAATTGGAATCTTTATGCATCTCAATGACATTAATCCTTATATATTTTTTGGTGCAGTSAATAAACTTTGATTGATCGATCTATAACCAACATGGCAGAAGACTATTACGTGAATATTAAAGTTACCTCATGACAAGCGTGAGATATGTATCCAAACCCAGTGTTTGGCATGTATTTGTGCCTCCGGTGTTATCTTGGGGAAAGCCCCGGCAGCATGACCCCTTGCAGCATGTCGAGATGCAGTTCAATTTGGAGGACATCACAATACTGAGGTTTCCAATTCTCATGAGATTGAAATTGAAATTGAAAAAGTTTGTTTTGTCCTCCAGATTGAGCTGCTTTCACRTCACATGAAAGTGGTCTATTAATGATGTTTGCATTTGGAATCTATAACAAAGATGGCGGAAGACTATTACGTGACATGTTAAGGTAGGTCACCTGTTTCTCTTACTGAGATATCCCAGTGTAAACCAGTCATGGTGCTCCTCCTGTGCCTTGTACACTTGTATCTTAACACTAGAAGGTTGTGGCCTTGCATTAAACATACAGTATATCACCTGTTGGTCCGTACTCATCAATCCAGAATGTAACATATTGTACACGTAAGACTGGTATTGCGTCACCCATGCAAGCATGACGTCACCTCTACCGACAAAATACGGTCCCCCTACCCACACTAAGTTGTTGAAGACAATGTCTTGGCAATTCACGTTGGTTCGCCTTGAGTATACCTCGGTATASGCTACTCTTTCTTCATTGAATTTTTTTGGAAGACCAAGCGAGAACGGTGGGCCGTTTTCCGGTTGGTCTCTAAAGCATCCAATATCAACCCAACTAAAATATTTAGTTTGGAAGTAATTTTTCTGCACCGCCATTCCCATCATGTCATATTTGCTCTGCATAACACAGGAATACGAAGCCATAACTGTGTTTGGGTGGAACTTGGGGTAGCATGGAGCATCGTAAATATTTTTTATAGAATTTTCTAATTTGAATCCCCAAAGGTCATTTCTTTTGATATGTATTATTTTTGTGAAGCTAGAAGGAAGATAAGATCTCGCTTCCCTGAATATCGCATCGGTTATGTTTTCCTCCACAAATATCACCATAAAGTTGCGTATTTTTGCCAGCCTTCGCATCCATCCCTTGTACATGTCATTGGTATAAAATAAATCTGCCTCTCCTTTTTTAAATTTACCGAGATTGATATATCCCGTTACCATGGTGAGGTTACTGGACAAGTGTGTGCTGTTTGCATAAGAAAAAGCTGGAGGATGGGGCACGCTCAGATTAACCATGAATGGAGGAGTTTGACATGGAACACCAACCTGGAAATAATAAAAAAACTCAAAATAATTACACGTACACCTAATAGACCCTTTGCCAAAATGGCGGCCGCAAATTCGAATGAGTTAGAAATAAACTGAGTGAAAAACCAATATCAGCACTGGAAAAAGCACATTTACTTTAGTAACCCTACAAATATTCATTATGTCAGGTGTTATGTCGGGCGAGAAAACTTAAGTTAACTTAACTTAATTGACAAATTTACAAGAGACGTTGGTATGTCTGGGGGTATAGCGTATACCCCCAGTTACAAACATTTGTAAATTTGTCAATTAGCACCTCTTTTGTGGTTTTGTTCGTGTGTGTGTATGTGTTTGGAGGGGGGGGGTTGGGGGTGTTTTCATGTTTTTCATTTTTCGTTTTCACCACATCACAAAATGTAAGGGTTTGAAGCCAAGCCATGGCAATTCTGGAAAAATATCTAATTCTTATCTTGATACGATATTGATTTGAATCGAAGCGAAAAAATCAAATATATTAATTCCACTGTGCCTTGCCACCGAGACGTCCGCAGAGCTGAGGCGTCGTATGGACTTTGCACATGACGTCAATTAAGGCAGATCTGCCCTTGGGTGTACGGATTACGCAGGAAAATATTCTAGTCTGAAGACATCAGGGGAGAGACCAGCCGACCCCCAAACCATATCTAAAGCTAATTCCTTGCACCAGGTGTCAGACACGGAATCGTTCGTGAATTCAATGTTTTCTTTTTCGATTTGAAAATGATAGAATAAATATAGAGATTTTCTATTATTGCCTCGTCATAGTGTAGCCGATTCCTGTCTATTCCA